GAGGCTGAGGGGAGAATTGCTGGGCGTTCCAGGTCATCCTTGACTAGATAGTAAGTTCAAGGCCAGCCTGCATGACATAGTGAGACCCTATCTCAAACAAACAAAAAGGATGGAGCAGTGGTCTGTCTGGGTGGACAGAGAGGCCAGCTAACATCGTCCACTGCTGGGAGCAGACTGTTGGCCCAGCTTCCACTCTTGTGGGTTCTGTAGGGTTGTTGTGTCCCCTCCCCCACCCACCTACTGAACACAATCCCTACTGTGCTGTATCAGTGGGATCTGGGGACATGATTAGGGTTCAGCGAGGACCTCAGAAGAGGAAGTGGGACCTAAGCTGGCCCCTTGCTCTGTCTGCCACCGTCACCCTGTACCACTTCAGGGTATGGCGAGAAGGCCCTCGCCAGACGCCAGCACCGTACCCTTGGGCTCCCCGGCACTCAGGAGGCTGAGGATGAGTTTGGGACCAGCTATGTAGTAAGACTCTGTCTCGAACCCCAGCCCCCCAAATAGAATAAAATTGTTACTGTCCCTCTTCTTCTGCCCGTGGGGATGGCTGCTTCCTGCCGGTCACCTGCAAGGCGAGGTTCCCTGCAGAAGGGCCACAGGTCCTTCTCTGGTGCTGTCCTTAATCTGCTGGCTGTTGCTGTAACTGAATACCACAGACTGGGTGATTTATAAAGAACAGAGATTTACGTGGCTGCCTGTCCTGGGCTGGGGTGGGGGGCGGCAAACAGAAGATGCTCCCACATCAAATCGAGGAGCAGTGAAGGTCCCGGGAACTTACCGCTGGGCTCAGGAGACCCCCTTCCCTCCAGAGAGGAGGCAGCCCAGATTCCTAACTCTCTAGGCCATCAGACTTAGTTCCTCATTCTGCAGTGAGGACCTTCCTGAAAATATTTATCAAGTCATCTTGAAATAGAGAAGGAGCCCCAGGAGGCCTGTGTTAGCTGAGTGTGGCTAATGGTATCGTCACACTGGTACCGGCCCTCCGCAGGCTGAGCCCACTGCCCCAGGGGGTTTCTGCCCTACAGTGACTGTCCCACCAGCCAGTGCTGAATTCCTTCCCCCTTTATCTATTGGTTGTTTTGAGTCAAGGTTGCACTGTGTAGTTCAGGCTGGCCTTGAATTTTTATTGCTCCTCTTGCCTCAGCCTCCAGAGAACCAGGATCGCAGGCAGTGCACCGTCACCGTGCCTCGCTTCTTCTCTCTTTCCCAGACAGCTAGGGCAGACTGATATTGAAGAAACAAGCAGCGGCATTTCCGACCTCAAGCTTGTTAAACGGGAACAGCCCTGGGCAGAGCAGACCTCCTTCGGGCTTTCTGGGATCAATGGAATGAACATGAAGTTCCATTCACAAAGGACAGAGGAGCTAGTTCTGACTGTCAAACAAAACCCTCGTCAGTTCTCCTGCCTCCCATTAAAATCTCCAGGCTGTGGAAAATTCCAGGTGACTGGCAGGGAGATCATTTCTACAAGGCCCCAGCAGACAGTGCCCCATGGAGCCCAGTTTAGCATCAACAGCTCTTTCCACCTCAGGGTTACAGTTCCTGAACCTGCTTCCCCCACAAGCTTCGGCAGGGTGGCGGGTGGGGCACAGAGGTACACAGCCAGGGAGAGGGTGGCCCACAGGCCCCAAGTTCAGGAAGAGAGAAGGGCGCCAGGGGCTTAAAACAAGGCGGGCCAAGGCGGGCATGGTGGCACATGCCTGTAATCCCAGCACTCTGGAGGCTGAGGCAGGAGGATCCCTGTGAGTTAGAGACCAGCCTGGGCTACATAGTGAGTTCCAGGTCAGTCTTGACTACATGATGCTGCTGTCGGCAGTCCTGGGCTCAGGGGAGGCACATAGGCCAGTAAGGCATTTCTCAGAGGGTAATTTTAATGACAGTACTGTCTGCTGTCTGTAAATGCAGAACTGAAATTGGTCTGGGTACCAGGAAGGAAGCCAGTGCGGGCAGCAGGATAGAAGCCATGCCCCCCTCCCACCCCCGCTGCTCCAGAAGGTTCGACCAGCCTTTGTTTTAAATCAGAAAGCATTTACTAGCCAGATGAAGGGTGCAGACCTGTAATCCCAACTGATAGGGAGGCTGAGGCAGGAGGATTACAAGTGCAAGACCAGCTCAGGCAATTTAGCAAGACTCCATCACAAAAATAAAAAAATAACA